AGAAGCAGGCGTCTTTTAATTTCGTGGCTGCTGTCACCATCTGCAGTGATCATGGAGCCCAAGAAAGTAAAATCTGTCACTGCCTCCATATCTTCTCCTTCTATTTGCCAGGAAGTGATGGGACCGGTGGCCATGATCTTAGTTTTTTTGATGTTGAGTTTCAAACCGTTTTTTGCACTCTCCTCTTTCACCCTCATTACAAGGTTCTTTAATTCCTCCTCACTTTCTGCCATCAGAGTGGTATCATCTGCATATCGGAGGTTGTTGATATTTCTTCCGGCAATCTTATTGTACATTACTGTACAGCAGAGCAAATCTACGTGCTACAAGACAATTCTAAAAATGGGGGGAGCTAAAAACAAAAATTCTAACTTTGAAAATGGGCTGTGGATTGCCACCAAATTTGACAGAGACGTAGCAGACAGTCTACATGTGCCAGCAAAGCCTGAATTTTGGCAACACCCATGATAGCAGTCAAGATGGTCTACAACATCCATTCTCAATGGGGGCCAGATGGACTCCTGGGGACCCTGGCATTTTTAAAGAGGGCCACAGACTGAAAATATGTGAGCTGTTTCTGAAAGATATGTTTGTGCTGTGTACATGTTTGATAGGGGCCCTGTAACCTCAGAAGAGCTCCCAAATGGCCGATGGCCAAAAAAAACCTTTGGGAATGGCTGGTCTACTGGATATAGTGCTCATTACTATTCACACTTGTCCAGACTACTTTGGGTTTGGGTGAGAAGTGATTTATTGATGAAAAAAGTAATAAGCTTCTGGGATTTTCCCTTGCTTTGTGAATGGGAATGAGCACAAGAGAGTAACCTGTATACTATCTTGGCTGCTGCCATTGTTGTTGTCAACATTCAGGCTGCCCTTTGCTATGTAAAGCTTGGCATCTTTTTTCCTGCTGGCAATGTGGAAACAATATTATGCAGCAATATTGGGCCATTTCCTTGAATTTTGAATTGTGGATACAGAAGCACAATATCCTACATCAATAAACGGGAGGGTTTTTTAAAAAAATTAAATAAGCATGAGAGAAATCATGTCAGATTTGACCAAATGCCTACTCACCCAGCATTCTGTTGGACTAGTGATCAGCCAGCTGCCCACTGGACTTGAGTGCAATGGTACCCTATGAGATACAGTACCATTTTTAGCTGCTGATACACAAAAAATATTGGTTTGGGAAGCAGTATACAGTCATTGGGACCAATAGCCACTGACTGCCTTACTAATTAATTAATTAATTATGTGCTTCCAAGTCAATTCTGATTTATGGTGAACCTTCCCAGGGTTTTCTAGGTATGAAGTCCTCAGAGGAAGCTATGGCAAACCTTCCCAGGGTTTTCTAGGTATAAAGTCCTGAGAGGAAGTTTACCAGTGCCTCCTTCTGGTACTCTCTGGGGACTATGTAGCTTGCCCAATGATGCACAAGATAACCTCTTCTTCCAGGAGGCAAAGTGGGGAACCAGCCTTCTGACAAATTGATACTTCCACCCAACGTGCTGTCTAGCCAGCTATTGATCACCTTATCATTCAAGAATTGTTTGAACCTACAGTTAAAGGTGTTAATGTTGATGGCTATCACAACATCTTATGCTAGAAAGCTCCACAATTTAACTATGTGTTATATGGCTGAAGAACGTCTTTTAGTCTGCACTGAATATCCCAGTTTCTACCTCCTTAAGGGATGACCCTGCACTCTAGGTGTGTGTGTGTGTGTGTCTGTGTGTGTGTGTGTGTCTGTGTGTGTGTCTGTGTGTGTGTCTGTGTCTGTGTCTGTCTGTCTGTCTGTCTGTCTGTCTGTGTGTTTGTAGAGCAAAATCTGTGCTTTGATGTGTGACTGAGATCTTTTGTTTATTTCATAGTTACCTTTAAGAAGTTTTTTAAGTTACCTTTAAAAAGCTGAAGACTAGGCATTGATTTCTGATTTCTGTTGCTGTAGGTCTCTGGAGTTTTACACTCTTTTGGGTCATAACAGCTGACATTGCGGAGAGACACAATTTTCCATGTTGTGTACCAGGACCTCAAGGTCCTCCTGGACTCAATGGGAACCCTGGCCAGAATGGGTACAATGGAGAAAAGGGGGAGAAGGGAGACCAAGGTGAACGAGGTGTGCTTTTTTTTGTTTGCTTTTTTAGAAGTAAATATTTTTAAATACATTGGCCAAAAACCTGTTGCTTAGTGCAGTAAATCAGTGGTTCTTAACCTTGGGTTATTCAGGTGTTTTTGGATTGCAACTCCCAGAAGCCTTCACCACCAGCTGAGAAACCCAAGGTTAAGAACCACTGCAGTAAATAACACTAAACTAGACCCATTCCCATTAAATCAGTGGGGATTTAGTGAGTCAGCGTCACCATAAGTTCAGTTGGTGCAAATGGTCTTTTTCTAGCTGTGTCATACTATGCTGAAGTCATACTCAGAGTAGGCCCATTATAATAATGGAATTTACAGAGGAGGTGCCTCTCCAAATCCCCACTGATTCAACAAGCCTAGTCTAGTACAATTTATTGCAGTAAGCAACAGGATTTTGGCTGTTCTCTTAAAAAAAACAATATGTCCCAGTTGCAAAATCTAAGAGAACTAGCCAACTATTGTTTTCTCAGACAGTCCCCATTGTGTTCAGTGGTGTTTTCACCCGAGGCTTGAATGAATCATTGTTTTTTAACCATCCATGTCATTCTGCACGTGTTTATTGAAAAGTCTGGGCTGCTAAGTTTCAGCAGTATTCTGCAAGTTTTTTTAAAATCGGAAAATTTACATGCACATTTAAATGTTTTTCCCCTCAACAGCAATCATCAGTCCTCTGTGATTGTTAAGAGCTTAATTGATTGCTCACGTTTATATTCTTGTCCAGTCTTTGCATGCTTCTTTATTCAGTCAAATTATCTAGCTGTTCTGTCTGGTGGAAGAGCATCCTTTTGTAACCTGGAAGCTGCACGACATCAAATTAGAGAAATATGAGAAGAGCAATTGGTTGGGAAGGGAAGAAGAGAACAAGGGCTAACTTAGGACTAAGCAAAACATTATCCATGTCTTCACGTAATGACATACATGCAGCTTCTTTGTTTCAAAGCAGCAGTGATTTGGGGCGGCCAACACATTGGTGTTTTGTTTTCTAAGATTTCAAGAGCAAAACCTAAGGCCAGGGAACAGGCCCTTATGATAACAAAGTGGGTAGGCTGTTGTGTAAATCGTTACACAATAATATGTGCATAAGAGAGTGAGTGAAAGAATGTGGATTTCTTGCGCAAGGTTCCCAACGAATATTTACAATGCAGGTAGCCTTGAGTCAGTGAGCCTTAGTGCCAATCACTTGAAAATAGGTGGATACGGCCTTGGAACCATTTCAAAAACAGAAATAATACTTTCTACTCCTGTAGTACCTCCCAGGCTCTAATTTATCTCCCCAATATAGGGAACTCCCCAGCATAGCAGATAGATAGATAGATAGATAAACAAATAGGTGGATACGGCCTTGTAACCATTTCAAAAACAGAAATAATACTTTATCCTCCTCTAGTACCTCTCAACCTCTAATTTATGTCCTCAATATAGGGACCTCCCCAGCATAGTAATTTCCTGACTTCAGCCAGCAACATGATTCCTGGCAGCCCAAGATGGAAGAGGGAGATTCCACCTGCCTCAGCCAGACTTTGAAGCGCAGCTGCCATGGCTTGTGTACCAAGAAAATTTGAAGTACTGATGCATATTTTCCAGCCCCTGTCTTGTTCCAATTGGCACAACAGGCCTAATGTGAACACACTTAATGGCCACATGGAAGGGGAGAGATTCAGTGGGTGCATACATTTGGGCCCAGCATGTACACACAGAAGCACCTGTTGAGTCAGTGCAACATGATGCCAGCTGGGAATAGGTGGATATAGGAATCCAGGCTTTAAAGCCATCCCACACATTCATAGCTATTCCTTCAGTGCTGTGTCTCTTTCCCTCTGGGTAATCATAGATTCTAGGCTTAAAGGTCATGTGGCTGGGCTCTTTAATTTTATTTATTTGTATTCATTTATTTACTTTGCATCATTTGTGGGCCATGTCTTTTTTCACAGTGACGGGACTCAAGGGGGCTTACAGTGTTAAATCAAGTAATACTAAATAATAATAATCTTAGAACTGCAAAGCTGGAAGGGACCCTATGGATCATCAAGTCCAGCCCTGGATGATATGTATATAGTAAAGCTACCTTGCAGCAGTTAGGGCCCCTCCTCTTCTTTGTACTGAATTGGGCTCTGAATTTCAACCCTAAAATATTTCCTGGGGGCATCAATCTGAGTTAAGAAACATCTCTAGTTGGAACCCAGTCTCAGGCTTCTCCATTTATTTTTGAAAGCAGTTCAGGGCTTTTGTAAACCTAACCATTTTGTTTTAATTCTTTTGGATTTATTTTGACCAAAGAGAGGTTGCGTAGCCTTTGAAATCTGAAGTGTGTTGCACAGATAAGTAGAAGTACATGTGAGCAAAGAACCTCAAGCTGCTTTGAACAGGAAAAAACAAACAAGAAGAGGAATAGAGACAGCTTCAAACTGCATTAAACGAGTGGAGAGCCTTCTGCATGTTTTGCTGTGATATACAGTTCAGTCCTTCCACTGAGTCCTTTTTCTCTGTTGATACATCTCTTGTTTCTCTCCTCCTTGGTTGTTTTTCCAGGCGCTCCCGGATCTCCTGGTTTACCAGGTATTCATGGAAAATTGGGACCAGTGGGTCCAAAAGGTGAAAAAGGAGAAGTCGGTGGTCCTGGCCTCCCTGGGGTATGCCAGCCACAGAAGAAATCTGCCTTTGCTGCACACCTGGCTAAAAATTACCCACCACCTAACCAGCCAATTGTGTTTCACAATATAATCTACAACGAACAGCAGCACTTTGATGTGGCCACAGGAAGCTTCACCTGCCAAATCCCAGGCATTTATTTCTTTGGCTACAATTTAGAGGCGCACAGGAATTCACATGTTGTCCTGAAGAAAAATGGGCAACAAGTGATAGCATCCTATCAACCTGCCGTAGATGTTTATGAAAACATGTCTGGAAGTGTAGTTCTTAAACTGGAGACAGGAGACAGGGTGTGGTTAGAAGCAAAACAATCTCAAAATGGGATAACACACACTAGTTATTTTGTTGGTTACCTACTGTTTGAATCTTAGCTTACATAGTCACTTGGATCCTGTCAATGGAATCAACCTTTAAGTATTTATCCAGCTGATTTGTGAATCTATGTACCTGCAATGAGGCATTCAGGAGCTCATGAGATCAGATTAAAGCAATGAGATGCTTACTGCCCTCACTATCTCTGCTATTTCCCTTTCTCTCTGTATGTATTAGAGGGCACAGGTCTGTATTTTCTACAGTGCTTTATGCATCCAGCCTCTCAACTTGATTTGACGATGCTGTCTAGGGCTGGTGGAAGCTGTAGTTCAAGAAAAGCTGGGGGCTGCACATCTCAGAGAGAGATCAGAGCGAGAATCTGCAGAGTTAGCAGTCCATAAGGAGGTTTGCACCAAAAGTTTGCAATCAGGACAACAGATTGTTATCTCATTGCCTATAGGAACCAGCCGACCTAATATCAGGATGTTTGTATCAGCAAGAAAACTTTTGTAAATGGCCGATGCTAATAAAGTAATCACTACTCAACACTTTCTGCATTTAATTTCCCTTGACCTCACTGTCTACGGTCCTGCCACACCTTGCTTTCTGTACACATACCTGAAATTCTGGATAACACTACATGTGTATGATGAAGTAAGCCATACCTCAAAACAGTTTATGTTGTAGGAAATTTGCTACTCTTTAGGGTGCCACAAGACCCTTTATTGTATTTACTGTAGCTGACAAATACAGTTGAAAATTGTTCAAGGACGCTTGCTAAATTATTGGGGAACCTGTACATCTAGTGCATGTTCTGAACTCAGTCAAGGTTGGCAAGAAACAATGACTCTAGAGAGCTTTACTGTCTCTCTCAATACTGTGATTTTGTTCATTCCATGAGAATAGGATAATGCTTTTCAAATACATGTATTCATCTAGGAGGTACAGCTTTCCTCTCTCTCTCTCTCTCTCTCTCTCTCTCTCATTTTCTTGGCAACTTTGTAAGGTAGGCTATTGAGAAAGTGGCTTGTCCAAGGTCATATGGTGATAATAAAAGAGTATTGGAGTACATTGAGAGTGGATTCACACAGCCTCCTGGTTGCTCAGCATTTTGGAAGATCCCATACTCAAAGAGGTTATGTTGAGTTACCAGGAACCCCTGCAAGGACCAAGGAAGCCTTTCAGTGTAACAGTTCTTTTATCTATCTGTGCCTAAAGGTAAAGGTAAAGGTTCCCCTTGACAATTTTTGTCCAGTCGTGTTCGACTTTAGGGGGCGGTGCTCATTCCCGTTTCCAAGCCATAGAGCCAGCGTTTGTCCGAAGACAATCTTCCGTGGTCACATGGCCAGTGCGACTTAGACACGGAACGCTGTTACCTTCCCACCGAGGTGGTCCCTATTGATCTACTTGCATTTGCATGCTTTCGAACCGCTAGGTTGGCGGGAGCTGGGACAAGCGACGGGAGCTCACTCCGTCGCGTGGATTCGATCTCACGACTGCTTGGTCTTCTGACCCTGCAGCACAGGCTTCTGCGGTTTAGCCCGCAGCGCCACCACGTCCCTCTGTGCCTACTCTGTGTTTACTCTTTACTGCCAGGCTTCTATTAGAATGCAAAAAAATGCAAACAAAAGTTGTTTTTCAGACACTCATTTCATTCCAGATAACAACGAGAGCAAATATCTATGACACCATGCCTAAACCTGAATATAAAAGAGAAAAATACTTAGGAAGTCACTGCACACACTATACACTAAACTTCATGTTTATGTAAGGTCTCAAAGGGCTGGAGGGGCTTATTAATCTAATGGCATGGCCCATCTCCAAAAGTCAGTGCACATTTTCAAAATTTCACTGCACAAATATGCACCTTAAACCTTCTTTCAGGGCTATTCAGTACCTGCTTCATGGTGACAGGTAGGACATTTCCAGAAAGATACAAGCCTCCTAACTCAACACAATAGCTGTGAACATGTAGACGAAATACCGTAACCAAGAACTGTCAGAACAGATGCCCCAAATGAGTCAGTGACATTTTGTATGACCCAAAATGACCAATGTCCTTGGTTTCATTTTTGAGACACATAGAATTATACACACTAAAGAACTGGCACTGATGTACAGCTAGAATGGTTCAATTCTCCTGGTGCTAAATAGTGCTAGAAAATGTGGATTTTGCATCTTTTGATGGCTTGACACTGGCTTGTCATTTTCTCAGGTTCCTGGGATCATTATTTTGATAAAGTGCTTGCATAAGTCATGTCCTTGCTGGAGTCTAATTGACATAAAGGGACAGGAAAAAAGGCAGAAGAAACCTGCACTGCACCATGGACTGAAGATATATGAAACCTACTAATACACCTAGGTAAAAAATGAGAGAATAATGACACCAGTTTTACAAGGGACTTGACATATAGTTCCATACATTTAAAAATCTTGGCAAATGTGCCTTCAAAGGACTAAGAAATATGAGAAATTTACTGAGCACTAAACATTACCTCCCCACCACAACTAGCAACTTTATTCCTCTATGGTAAGCAAGGCCAGGTTCCTCCCTCCCCCCTTTCCCCTTTCCTACCATTCATCAATCAGTGGAAGAAATTCATAGAGAGCAAACAGAAAAAAGCACACTCCCTACACTCAGTTTTACATCCTATTCTACTCCTTATGTCAAAAAGGCTTTTTCACATTACTGGCCAATCAAACAACTTGATTCATGAGATCCATCGGCAGCACTGTGGAGAGAGGAAGCTGTGACCAACTTAGGAAGTACTAATAGGAATAAAGAACAGCTGGGGATGCAGGAAGTGTCGGTTCCTTCCTGTATCTGAAATACTGTTTTTGTATTTTATGTCTGGTGGTCTACTAGTAAATTTGGAAGTAAAGGTGCTCATCATGAAAGTCCCATAGACCCTCATGATCAGCAGAGTCCAAAAATGCAAGCAACTGGATTCCAAACCAAACCACCGTTGAATACTCTCCATTACCACACACATAGGGTGCTGCAATAATATACTGCTCCCGGAAAATATCCATTTCTGCCCCAGAGAATTGCAGCTAAACCCAGCGGATGCCTGGGGATCACAACATAGTCCCTGCTCCTAAAGCAGTCTTGATACGTTGAGCCTGCAAACCCTGGTTCCATTGTACTACAGCTTACTTCTTTGTACGCGTATGGGTCTGATGTAATAGCTGTAAAAATGGCTGTTGTGGTGTGCAAGAGGTTGAATAGGTAAACTAAGTATTTGGATACATGTATATGAGTAGTCATGTGGAAACAGTTTTGCATGTTGCATTGATGCATGTGTGCACAGGACTACATGAAGGACAAATAATTTCAAGAATGGTGTGCGTGGGCAAACGTAGGCACATATTGGCTCAAATTGACTCTGAATGTGTGTGTGTGTGTGTTTGTGCAAATAAACCCACTGCTCTTATGTAAAATGATATTCCTTTGATTACGATGTAGCTACTTCTGAACATACATGCATAGGATCAGCCAGTGATTTCTAATTCTAATTCTTGTGATAGTTGCAGAAGTCTGTGCATGTTAGTCTGTGCAAAATTTCTGGTAATGGTGGTCTTTCCCCTGAGAGAGTTCTGTGAGTAGAAAAGGAAGGTCATTCCCAGAAGCCTTTTTAATAGGGATTCAATAGGGAATATCTGCCACTGTTGCATCTCCATTGTCCGAAAGAACTCTAAGGACAGCAGGGCGCAAAAAGGAGGTCTATTGGTGTTAGATTGGAGTTGGACCCACAACTCTCACATTCTCTCTGTGGGGAAAATTATACAAAAATATACTTTTTTCTAAATGAGTCTGAGATGTTTGTAAAGAAAGTAATGGTGGAAATATGCCTCCCCAACTTTTACCTTACCAGTGTGGCCTTGGAGGTTCATCTGCCACAAAGAATCCTTCACACATCCCACTTTGCTTGCTTTGTTTGACATTTCTCTGGAAATGTTGATCAACCTGAGAGAATAACTCTTCTGCCAGCCCTACCTTTTCCAAACAAACTTTCTATTGTCAAGGGAAATTTGGCAGTGGACAATGTTTGCTGGTGAGATACCCTTCTGACCTTTGAGGCCTGAGCTCTCCTAAGCATTCATAGGAAAATCTGTTACTTTTCAAATTCTAAATATTGACACATATCTTCTGCAACACTACGGGAGAGTTATAACCATTTGCTCCTCCAATTGTTTCCCTTCCTACTGTCATCAAATCTCAAATGAAAACAAAACCGAAACGAAGAATTTTAAAAAGAGCATAACACTGATACTTTAGCAAATCTAAACTGTGACCTAATTAGATTGCTGTTAATATAATACATTGGCAAGATAGGTAAAGGTAAAGGTTCCCCTTGACAATTTTTGTCCAGTCCTGTTCGACTCTAGGGGGCGGTGCTCATCCCCGTTTCCAAGCCATAGAGCCAACGTTTTGTCCAAAGACAATCTTCCGTGGTCACATGGCCAGTGCGACTTAGACACGGAACGCTGTTACCTTCCCACCGAGGGGGTCCCTATTAATCTACTTGTATTTGCATGCTTTCGAACAACTAGGTTGGCGGGAGCTGGGACAAGTGACGGGCGCTCACTCCGTCACGTGGATTCGATCCTATGACTGCTTGGTCTTCTGACCCTGCAGCACAGGCTTCTGCGGTTTAGCCCACAGCGCCATCATGACCCATTGGCAATATGAGCGTGTATAAACAAGGAAGAACTCTGTTCATGCCCTATTTCTCCTTCACACTGTTTTATGGATTAAAAGTGGCACACTGCAGGATGGTGGGATCTCTTAAACACCTGTTTGACCACAATGGAATGGATGGCATTTTTGGATTTTTGGGGGCTACAAATGGCATAATTCTCAATTCCTCAACTTGTATTACAAGCGTATAATGCATCTGGGAGAAAAGCCTACACTGGAAGGCTTTGAGTCTTAGTTAGGCCTAGCTTCACTCAAGCTTTCTGTTCCTGCCTTGGCAATACCTGGAAGTTTTCCAGCTAGGCCTAGCTAAGCCTCAAAGGTGCATCACGCTAAGGTCTTCGTAAGGTAAATAGGATCAGACCTTTGTAAGGTCCAGAAAACCCTGTTCCCTGCCCTCCACATCCCATTGGGGAAAAAAAGGAAAGGAAGCAGCTGTCAGCGTCTCTGAATGTTTCAAAGGAGTTCTGTCTGGATATCCTCAGAGTAAAGCAATCCGGTGGCCTTTTCTTGCAGGAAAGCTGCTGGAATTTGAACACAGTTTCTATGCAGCTGTTAATTTTGAGAGAAATAATTTTGTTTCCTTTCGACTGCAAGAAAGCCACTGAGGAGTACCTGCTTAACGATTTAAGTGTAAACTCATTAAACAATTCTGTATCTGTCTGACAGAGGTGGGGCAAGCAGTAGTAGGCAGACATAGGCAGGTTTCCTACTTATCAAAACCAGGATTGTAGACCTTAGAGTTATTCCCCATCCCCACCTTATTTTGATCCACTTTGATCCTCTTTTGTTCTGACGCTGACCACAATTTTTTTTAAAAAAAAATGCTCTGGTTGCTCTGTTAATACT